GTAAGAAAGAATCCTTTAATGTGCTAGAGCTCTTAAGTCACTTTTTATGTTGCTCCATGGTTGTATGTATCACCTTCTGTGAAAGCGGATCATTTTACAAGTGGAACATGTGAAAGGTTAGGCGATAGAAGTGTAGATCTAGGAGACCTATATCTTTCATTCATAAGTTCTTTGGAGCTTTATGTGGAAAGGGAGAGGTTTTTTCCTTTCAGAAAACATTCAAAATATTCTTTCCAAGACAGCAGAAGACTTCCTGGATAACATGTCTGTTAAATAAAAGAGTTTACCGGCCTCATCTCCGTAATTTCAATCAGACTAAATAGGGAACTGGAACCTTCTGTCAGAGTCCAATATCTTGTGGTTCAAACTGTTTTCAGTAGATAAGAAAACAATGTTAGCTAAGGTAACAGAGTAAGTAGGATTAATGGAAACCTAATTAATCCATTCTAGACCCCTTTTTCTCTACTCCTGCCCTTTCTGCACCTACTAATTTTTTGATCCAAATTCCATTAAAATTGATGGAAAGACTCCCACTGAAGTTAGTGGGTTGTGTGGGTATAGGGCCAGAGTGAGCTCTTTCACAGAAAATACTATAGTTTTCAACAAAAGCAGCCAGCCTCTGCTGCCTGTCCCATCAACTGATAGTCACTGTAAGATCCATAGTATGTCACATTCCCCTTCATTCCAAGACAGATCATGTTTGTAGCATGCTCTGCAAAATACTAAAATAAATAGCTGTATGTTCCTATTTCAGATTACATTATGCAACTTTTGGACCACTCATTCAATCCCTCTGATATAAGCCCGTTGTGCTAGTTCTTTACATTCACCTGCTTCCTCATTAAATTGCATACTCATATAATCAGATTCTTGACTAGCTTTTAATTCAATTTATATTACTAGTTCTTTATATTCACCTGCTTCCTCATTAAATTCACTCATATCATCAGATTATTGACTAGCTTTTAATTCAATTTATATTGTATCCTGCTCAAGTAAAAAACTACTCATCCTGCTGCATTGAGATTTCATGTCAAAGCATTCACTCATGCACTATTCACTCATTGCATGAATAACATCTCTTATTTCTATAAATATTAAAGGGAGTCATGACAGTAAATACGATCAATGGGAAAATATACTTTTCTGAAATAGTATATTTTAAATTTCAAATCAAGGTAACTTGTGAAAATATATTTTCAGCCCTATAATAAAATAGGAATACATACATATATACACACACACAAAACCAGTTGCAAATGTTACTTAATGTACATGATTTATAATCTGGCATAAAAGATCCATCACACCATTAAAATGCATTTTAGAAAAGTCTTACTTTATAGCTCCTTCCATCCTTAAAATTTTCATTAATTGAAAAATATAGTATAGTATTTTGTGATTTTTTTTAGATTTTAACTAGTCTACCAAAATGCTATGATTTGGTTTCCATAGTGTGCTTTTCAAAAAATTGGAAAAAATTAATTGCAGCATGTTAAAGGCACTGAAAATACATTGGAAATCCTAAAGACTGATTTTATGAATGAGAGTAAACCCATAGAAAGATGTGCAGCCTCAATATAACTCATGAGTGGAGGGATGTGCAAACCAAAAAAATAGTATATCAGACATAACTTCCTTTCATTTTTGAAACCACTGCTGTAATTAAAGAAGTAGGTTTGTTACAAGTTTGCTCCATTGGCAATTATTTTTTTTAAACATTTTTAAAATCTTAAAATTTATTCATGGAATATTTTAAAAAAGCAAGGGGATTGATTCTAGCAGTTGCCAAAATGGTGGAGGGCAGAAGCATTTGGTCATTTTGCACTTCATTTTCCAAAGAGTAGAAAGGGAAAATAATTCAGCTGAGTATATTGTGAATATGAGAGAAACTTCTCCAAGAAAATCTGGATATCTGCCATTTATATGCTGGGATTTAAGGAAGCTGTTGAAAAGCAGGCATAGCAGCTCGCCTGCATCTTAAAATGCCAATGGGAAACTGAAAAGACTTTCGACACACACCACAGTAAGATGCATAGCTGTCCACAGGTATTATGCAGGAAGGAGGCTGAGCTCAGAAAATGCCATCTTATTTTACAGAAGAGACTGGATAGGGCTATGTAGGAGAACAAGAATCTTTACTGAGAACTGCTGAACAGCTATAGGGTAGGTGACCACTCTAATCTGGGAGTCGACATCCCACAAAATGGCAAAATCATACCAGTTCCAAAATGAAGACTAGGAAAGAGAAAACCGTACAAATCTGGCATCCCTGAACATAATCTGAGGTCATGAATTGCCTCTCCTAATTAATGTGTGATGTGTATCATTCAGCATTGCTGCGTTGACTGCTCGAGGGACTAAAAGGACTTTTCACACTTTGCTGATGGGAACATAATGTTTAGAACAGCACAAGCAGGTTAAAATCTAACCCCCAAAACACTCTTGACTGTGACAGTGGTAGCGGCTCACAATGTCTGGGAATTCTAGGTAGTGGTCCCCAGTATTATTGCTACTTACCACTTGTAATCCACTGCTTTCAGCAGATAACACTGGTTTCTTTTATTGAACAGAGCATGAGTGTGTATGCACATAGTGAATTCTGATCATAATCTGATCCACTCACTGAACTCTTCTCCATTTTCACCCTTTCAAGGCCTGGCATTGAAGACTTCTTGGACAAAAACACTGCCACACCTGCAGGATTTTTAGATCTAGAACACTTCTCCTTGAAAGGTTCCACACCCTCCCAAAGCCCAGCTGTGTGTGAGGTGGGGAGAGGAACAACAGGAACAACACAAAGAAGGAAAAATACTATATAACTGGTTCCTTAGACTAGCCCCAAAACACCAACAAACTGAAGATAGCAATCTCAAACTCTGGCTGAAGAACACGGGGTTCAGCCGTTGATTAAACCAGCACCATTCTGGATTTGCTTTCAAATTAGGCACATTCCCTTGCCTGCATAATTGACATTGGTTTGTTTTAGCCCAGCTAGTGCCTGCAGACTATGCAGTACAGCATGAACCAACGTAGATCATAGAAAAGCCAAATGGAAGAAAAAGTAGTCCTGGTTTGCTCACCCACAGAAGATACTCCAGTCCAGAAACAAAAGCAGATCAAAGAGAGCCCAGCATTTCTAATGTTTAACCACCCTCCAGAGGGGGACTTTGCTAACTTCCTAAAGGGTCTAATGGTGCAGGTGCTTAGGATGATGCTAAAACCCTCCAGGTCCATTGCTCTTGAGAACTACAGTTTCTATGTTGCTAATGCCAAAGACACTCTACAATCCAATCTCTTTGATCAATACTACAGGTTTCACGTGAACTGTCTTTAGGCTCACTCTTTGCGAGTAATGGGCAATGGGCAGAGTCTTCACCCTATGAGTATACTAATATTGAAACCTTCTCATGTCCTATTGTCCTGGTCTGGCCACCCCTTCGTATAAATAAATATTATGGTCTTCACAGGGAAAGGACAAGAAATTTCTCTCTTTTAAAGAACACTGATAGTCACATTTAGATTTCCCAATTAGCAGATGAGCACCTGCAGTCTCAGGGTATGCAGAGACCTGTACCAGAACTGGGCACCATGTGTGGAATAAATGAATGAAGTCAGAAATAACCTGGTATGGACCATAGGCCTTTATGCAGATAAATACATAAATACACAAAGGGGAGTAATCAATTCGGACCATAGGCCTTTATGCACATAAATACACAAAGGGGAGTAATCAATTCTTAAATTAAACATTGTAAAAAAAAATTGTGACCATTTTTAGAAGGTCATGGGCCTTTATTTACAGTCCTTGTTTCTTAACAGGTCTGACAGGTAACTTATAGCTGAGGAAAATTGCTGAGCTGAGATGATCCTTTTACTTTAAAGTGTGGTATTTCACATATCAGTGACTTTTTAAAGCATTTCTTTGAGAATTACATTGTGTATTAAGGCAATTGCATTATCTCACAGATATTTGAAAATGATGGCCATGCACAGAGGCATAGATGCAGTCAGATATAATCACTGAACTATTTCAATCGTCTTGCATGTCACAGTTTCATATTAAATATAATTAGAAATGGATGTTGAGTCCATCAACAGTCATGACACACTCTGGCACGTGTGAATGATATAGTAGGAACCTGGGCCCCCATCTCTTTGTTACAGGCAGAGAATTCTTAAACCAACAGAAACTGCTTTTTAAAATCAACGTGAGTATTACTTGTTGTGATCCCTCCCTCTGGGGCAGCAAGTATTGGCCACTGTCGGCAGACAGGATACTGGGCTAAATGGACCTTTGTTCTGACCCAGTATGGCCATTCTTATGTTCTTAGGTAACATCTGTATTTTATGACCTGCTCCTATATGGGTGTTATCTTCCTGCTCTTAGAAATGCTTAGATTAGGTGACAAGAAAGGACATTCACTACAAATTACAGTTCCAGTGACTACTTTGCAAGGCAGGGATCTGGTGTTTGCATCATCTATGATACCTAAGGGTGCACCTGCACAACACCATAAACTTGCGTTGTGCAACTTGCGTATCTTATTTTGAATCTATTTTGAAATTTGAAATTTGGCACATCTACACATTGCCAGATTTTGAAATAACATGCTATTTTGAGCCATCCCTTATCCCTCATGCAATGAGGTTTACTGGGATGGAGAAATAGCACGCCCATTATTTTGAAAAATATTTCAAAATAACAGGCAGTTTGTGTAGACATGGGGTAGCTATTTTGGAATACCTCTGGTATCCCAAAATAGCCATGCAGTGTAGATGTACCCTAAAAGTCCATCAGAGAGAGTCAGAGTTTGTGATTTTTTAGTGTGAGGTAGCAATAAAATGAGGATTTATAACAAATTACTCCATTTCTGCTCTTAGTATGTTATTGTTCTACAGCTCTTTAAAAATTAATGTTCTTGGCTTTAAAATCATAATGAATACTTTAAAGGCATGCTTCAAGACATCACTCTTTGTTTAAACAAACTTCATTCATTACTGCCTTCAAAGCCTCTTTTTAGTTCCATGTTCCTCTAAGTCTTTACAGCACGGTTTTGTAATCCAAGTACTTGATTTTCTTCAACCATGATATCTCTGTACCTGGGGGAAAATAAAAGATTTTAGTGTACTCAGAATGTGCTGTACTTTCATCATAAACTTTAACAGCTTCCAGTGAATATTTGCTTTCCCGACAGACTTGGAAATGGAATATTGAATACTTATCCATAAAGCTTGGGGCTTTTTAAAAATAACCTACCATTCCAAAAATATATAGAAGATACTTGGAATCAAATATTTTTTGCAATGGTAAATACTGTACTGTTGGTATTAAATAGGAAACACTTACAACTCAGAACAAATGCTCTATTTATACAAGCTACACAATTTAATAACAGATTCAAATTTTCAAGATATCCATAAAGGGCATTTTTTAATCAAAGTTATTTAATGAACAAAGAATTTTAAAAAAATATATAAATTAAGCTCCCTTCAAAAACTTGCATCACAGACATTAAAATCCAGCAAAATAATAGTATTTCATATAAATTGAGGTTTACATTTTCAAAAAATTGTATGAATTTTCACAGGCACTAAATAAATACTTTGGCCCATCCTTAGTAATTAGCTAACAATTCTACCCCAAACTAGATTCACACACACCCCAGCAGGGTGGCTGGCAGGAGCAAATGGCTGGTAGGCGGCCACTGGGGCGGCTAGCAGGACCAGCAGCAAGTGGCCAATGGAGTGGGTGAGACGCCTCCTATCCCCACCCCCCTAAGGGTGGGAGGTGAGCTCTGAAAATCACCTCTGAGCTCTGGTCTGCCGCAACCAAGGTCAGCCACTATGAGAGGGGTACAGAGAAAGGTTGGGCATGTGAATGGGACACTTACATGGCTAGACTTGAGAGGCAGAGAGGCAAAGGACATTGCTCAATATACTTGAGCTGGGACGTTTAATCATGGGTTGGTTGTGAAATCTGTGGTGTTTTCCCAAGTTAATGCCATGTGACTTCTCTCCCTCTTTCATTAAAAGTTTCTTTTCTATGCTCAGACTCTGTGCTTGTGAGTGGGGAAGCATTGCCTCCCAGGGGCACCCAGAGGTGAGTGTGAATTTCCTAGGCTACTGGGTGGGGGCTCAAGCCAGTTCTGCATAGGAGGGTGATAAGGAACCCCTCCCTAGATATTGAACCCAGCCCTGGCTGCTGCCAGCACTACCTGGCAAAAGGGTTACACTTAGAAAAGGGAAGTTTCAAGACTGAGCAACAAATGGCACATTAACATCAAAGGATGGTTTCTTGAATAAATGATAACTTTGAAGTACTTTACTACAGTCTCCTTCCTTGCTTTTTCATTTCTCAGAGTCCAGATGTAAACCCAAGTTACAGGCCTTTCTTCACGGATCTTATAATCTCATAAAACACAGTATTTATTGACATGGCAATTGTAAACCCAAAGGATCAGCCTATGTGAGGCTACCAAAAGCAACAAAGAAGAATTTACAGTGGATAGTATCCCAGTAGAATTTCTGATTTCTAAACATGAAACTTTCAGTGAGTATGTAACAGATACAACTTGTGTGCAAATCAACCAAAATTCTGAGTTAAACACTTGGAGCATCTAAGGCCAGATATATATAGCAGTATCTCATTTGGGACTAACTTGTTCAAATGGCCTAGCTATGATACCCAGCAAAGGTCTCAGTTTTGCAGTCCAAGTCAGAGGATAAGTCCATTAATGTGCTGTTACGGTCAGTGGTCTTACACACCACTGTCTTGGCATTTTCTAATATCAGCCTCAGAATGAGGACCATCCCAACAGTTTAAGGAAGAAATCCAGAAACCATAACCAGATGCCAAAAATTACACTTGTTCTGGATAATATCTAAACCCATCTCCCTGAGGGTACATCTACACAGCAAGGGAAAAGTTGGAATAAGCTACACAACTTCAGCTACCTCAATTGCACAGCTTAAGTTGAAATAGCTTATTTCGGCTTTTGACGCTTTCTACACAGTAGGAAGTCGAAGGAAGAACACTCTTCCTTCAACTTCCCTTATTTCTCGTGAAGTGAGGGTCATCATGAATTGGAGTAAGACGTCCTCCAGCTTGACATTATTTCAAAATAAAGGCTTGTAGTGTTGACGTGCACTATGTTATTTCTGAATAACATCCGTTATTCTGAAATAATGCTGCTGTGTAGACATATCCTCAGGGTATGTCTACACTTGCAGCCTATTTCAGAAAGGGCTGCAAATGTAGGCATTCGGAATGGCAAATCAAGCCTGAGATTTAAATATCTCATGCTTGATTTGCATCTTCCCAGCCGGGCGCCATTTTTGAAATTTACAAGCCCAGAATAACTGCCCGCGTCTACTTGCAGGAGGAATAACAGCTAGTTCGAAATAGGGCTTTATTTCGAATGCCTGTTTCACTGCTGCATGTAGACGGGGGCAGTTATTCCGGGCTTGTAAATTTCAAAAAATGATGCCCGGCTAGGAAGATGCAAATCAAACATGGGATATTTAAATCCCGGGCTTGATTTGCCATTCCGAATGCCTACATTTTCAGCCCTATTCTGAAATAGGCTGCAAGTGTAGACATACCCTCAGTGACTAATAGTAATAATAATAAATTATTTAGCATTTACATAAAATTTCACATCTTCAAAGTGCTGTACAAACATTATTGGATTTATATTAGCAGGTGCCAATTCTAACAGCCTTCAGTCATCTTGGATTTTACTATTTGCTAACAGCAGATAAAGTGCATCAGAAATATAAAGTGTCATTTCTTTTAATACATTCTAGTGTAGAAGAATAAAATTATTTGTATTCTTGATTTCTATATTTTCATTTGCTTATTTGTTTCACACCTGGGTCCCACAAAACCATACGGACAGGTGCAGAGATTTCTGGGTAAGCATGAGCCCTCATGTTGACACAGCATGTTACAGTGTGCTGCAGATACAGAATTATGCTATTCAAGAAGTCAGGTCTAAAAATATATATAGAAATTGATTCTCTTTTAGCAATACATGAAGGTAATGTTTGTATCAGCAAAAAAACCCTGAAAATAAACTGAAGACCCATTGAGGAACTAACAATAGACCACCTCTTTCTTTCCACAGTGGCAAACTGCAGAATGGATAAAATTCTGCCTGATAAGCATATGAAGCTTGTCAAGGATTAAATTTGCCACAACTATGAGTGGGCTCAGCTCCATTCAAATCAACAGAGTTATACCCAATGTAGGTCGATACTTAATGTGGCTCGCTATGTTCAAGCGGAGACATCTGTGCATCTGAGGGCAAAGTTTGGCTTAAAAGGACTGTTCTTGACTTTATCAGATGTACTAAAATTATAAACATCCAATTTCAAACTAATATAGTAAGCATGGCTCGTGCACCTGGCACTCTGTTCCCAGATGGATTTGTATATTTTAGGGACATGGGAGAATTCTTACAAAAATGATTAATCCCTACTTGCGTGTGTGTCTATGTGTGTATATATGTGTGCAGATATAATTGAGCATCCAAATACATTGATAATGCCATACATAAAAATGAAAGACAAAATTATTTTGGTCTGTATAGTTCACTAAATTTAGGAACATTCCACCACACATAGCCTTCATGGGAGATTAAAGTGTTACAAAAGGTACACAATTAATACACACATTTAATTATGACATGATAAAAGTCTTCAAGTACACAAAAGGTTGTTATCTTACCACTGGAGACAGGACAGGAAGTAATGGGCTTCAACTGCAACTAGAGATTTAGGTTACACTTTAGGAAATGTTTCCTAACTGTTAGGATTGTGAAGCACTGGAACAAATTGCTTAGGGAGGCTGTGGAATCTCCTTCAGGTTTTTAAGAGCAGGTTAGACAAACACCTGTCAGGGGATAATACTTAATCCTGCCTCAGTGCAGGGGACTGAACTAGATGACCTATCAAGGTCCATTCCAGTCCTACATTTTTATGAATTCATGTCTATGACAGTTCTAGGGGTTGTGTAAAACAACAGCCAACTCTCCCTCTGTCAGGATGAATACTCACAGTAGTGACAGTCAGTTAGGACTGACCTTTGGGAGACTCCATGATTCTAATTTTAAGGAGACAGCCCAATTACCTTCCTCACACGTTGATTCATTGTATCCTAGGGGACATATTCATTGTATCCTAGGGGACATATACAGACACTGGGCTTCATGCACCTTCGATGGATTTTACAGCTTGGGCAACATACAGCTGTGCTAAATCAACACATGATTTTAAACCCTTTCATTAGCACATACTAGAAAGGCAATTGCAATGTGCCATACTCACCATTCTGACAGTTATACCCAGAGTATCCATGTTTGCATTAGCAAATACGGGATGCCATACATGCCATGTTTTTACTACATGCATGCCTGCATATTGCTGCCAGGCAATAAGAGAAATAAGAGTGGAAGAGTAAGGAAAATGACAGCAGCAGTGTAGCATAATGAAGTTTTGACTAACATGATTACATTGTAAACACGTAACAAAGAATCAGCTGGGACCCATCGAAGCTAATGGGCACTGAACATTTTTTAAAGGTATTCATACAACTGAAAATCTTGATGTGAAATTCAAGCTGTATCATTTTTAATAGTGAAATAATGGATAACTTAAAGTTATTTTCTTTTCAACCATCATATAAAAATAATGTAATTTTTTAAATTCTAAAAATGTTACAGGTTCTTCATTGTAAAGCATTTAGTATCATTATTAGCAATACCTCTGCAAATGACATCATCTCTATAATAACCAGGACAATGACCACATTTGAAGCTTCCATCTTGGTTTGGTTCCCAGAGAATGCCAGGAAAACAGTAAATCAGCACACGTTAATGCCTTAGGTACTGCTCTTCCATTTGATTCCTGATGTGTACCAGGCAGTTTTTCTGGGACAGTGATTTCAACAAAACCAGATTGAAAAGGCTATACTTATGCTTGACTGGTGGATGTTGAACTTTGTAACCATTTCCTCTTGTTAATACCCTGCTCATTATGGAGGCAATGGGTATTTTTTGAGGAGTACAGGATCTTTCGAAACGGGGCATTTCCGTAAAAAA